TTTTGAGAAAGAACCAAAACACCCAGTGGAGATTTTCATTGAGTTATTTGATGTGTACAATGCAGTGTCAATGCCTTTCTTTGTCTCTTCAATATAAGCCATCTTGTTTGCTAGTCTTTTTGAGATGGATTTAAATTTCTAGGATGAGTAGCAGTGCTAAGTCCCACTTTGGGCTGGCATGGACCAAATCCAGAGATGTCCGTGAGAGGACATCCCCTATGGGTGACCTAGTTAAGAAGTTTGAGGAGAAAGTGGGATTGCATCACATCCTCTATTTACTTTGGTCCAGGAGGGCTGCTTTCAATTTTCAACTCCCTCCTATGCAAAGAGGCAATAAATAACATGCTACCGGGTTTCTTACCTTCGCAGCTGGGAGGAGAATGTCTTTGTGTATGACCTCGTGAACAGCTGTGTTCCTGGGATCCCAGCTGACATCTGGACAGGGCTTCATGATCACAGACAGGTGAGGAAGTCCTGGCCAGGAGGCCCTCTTGGAAGCTCCAGCTAAGATTCCATTTTGATTTAACCAGCCTTTCCCATGGAACCTATGCATCAGGTCACCGCTAGGTGCCCAGCAGACCAAGAGAAATCAGATGCCAAGACGCCCCAGTTAGTGTATGATCAACGTTGTGAAAGAGGATATGATGGGAACGTATTGGGTGGCAATGAAGGCCTCTGCTTGGGTTTGGGTTCTCCAAAAAGCTGACGCCAAAACGTGGTTAGATGGGCAAGAGGTTTTTGAGGGAAAATATCTGCTAAGGACAAAAGAAGGTATGAGGAGGCAGGATTGGCCTTCAGACCATGACGTGGGTCTGAGACTGTGAAAGCAGAGTGGGCAGGAAGGACTGGGAGGGAAGAGCCTCAGATCACAACACCACTCTGGAAAGTCTCAACTAAGCCAATGGGGCATCAGCAGGCAAAGGATGCCCATTCCAGGACTCTCCCACTGGGCAGGAGTGGGCCAGGATTAGCACTTCTGACATGCTGGATCACTACCTGGGAACAGCACGGAGGGAGCATGGTCTCACTGTGAGTGCAGTGGTGGATCTAAGGGGCTGTCAGTCAGCCATACTCCCTCAGCTGGTCCTCTTGGAGAGCTCTGAGCAGTGCACGTCTATGGCTGCCACAGCCTCTGTGGGCAAGAGACATTTAAGTTAATGTCTAATGGATAAATAGGAGTCAGCCAGAGGAAGGACATTCCAGGTAGAGGGAACAGCATGGACAAAAGTCCTGAGGTGGGAGAGATCGTGGCGCACTCAAAGACGTTAAGGACCAGTGTGTCTGGGATGCAGAGTGGAGCAGAGGTGGGTGGAATCATGGAGAATAAGGCAGAAGAAGATGGCGTGGGCCAGACCTCATCCCCGGCAATAGCACAGCAGACTCCATCTGGAGTTTTTGTCTCCAGCTTTCCCTGGGCCAGCTGCGTGCTGAGCATCTCTCCTGCACGTATGCTTCCAGCCCTGCCTCAGAGTGCCGCAGGGAGTAGGGCTCCAGTTCCAATTCCCGCCCCTGTTCTCCCACTTCCTTGGATGGTAGGTGACTTGGGGCAATTTTTTTTTCTTTTTTCCTATGTCTTTGAGCTTCAATTTCCTCAGCTGTAAAATGTGATGATAATAATAGTGCCTGGTTGTAAAAAGTAAATGAGCTACTGTTTGTGAAGGACTTAGCCTGTGCTTGGCACACGGTGGGAGCTCATTAAGGGTGGTTGGAGTTGCTGCCAGAGGAACAGAAGTAACAGGAGTGGCCAGACTCAGGATGGGTGCTTTTACAAATCAATAGAACTCATCGGACAAGAACCCATGTCGAAGTTGTAACCTTAAAAAACCAAAATGTTGGATTTCTAACCAGCGGGACTGTTCTGAGAGCTTTCTGAGGTGCTCTTCCTGGGTTATAATCCTCAAATTTGGCTTGAATAAAATTTTCCATTTCTTTCTTAGATCAACTGGTTAATTTTTCATCAGCACCGTAATACAATCAGATGCAAACATTTCACATAAAGCCTGGTCACACCTACTGATTCTCCTACACACTTTTACCTTAATTCAATAAACTTTTACATCCCTAATTTTAGTAACCTTAAATTTGACTTATGAATATACTTAATTAGATTTAAGGACTTTGTATTATAAGACCTAACAAGAATAACAAACAATGCAGTAAAAGGGCTTATCTTTCAATTTTTCTTTTCAGGACTAGACACCACATGCCAGGTATTAGCTAAGTTTTTACATGCTTTTAGTTCGTACAATCCTCACAATAATTTTTAAAGGGAGATATTAGCTCCATTTTATAGGTGTGGAAACTGAGGCTCAGAGAGTTAACTATTCCAGATTGCAGAGCTACAGAGTAGATCCAGTTGGAATCTCAAGCTCTAGTCTCTCAGAGGGAGCCTGCAGTTTCCATTATATGACATAGTCTCCACAATTGTCTGTGCTTTGGGGGAGATCTTTCTAAAAATGTGAATAAATGGAGAAATGACTTTCGTTCCAGGACATTGCAAAGAAGTAGTTCTTTCCGTAGTTAATTTGCACATTTATTGTAACACCGATCAAATCCCCAGTGGGACTTTTCTTGTAATCGGACAAAGTGGTTCCACAGCAGGCAAGAAAAATACACACTACTTGGGCAAAAGAAAAGAGATGAAGTGTGACTCCCATCCATTGGCAAAAAAAATTTTAAGTGTAGTAGTTGGGGTCTTGAGTACTGGAGTCAGGTCAATCTAGGTTTGAATCCTAGCACTAATGCTCTATTAACTGTGTGAATTTGGGTAGACTACTCTGAGTCTCAGTTTTCCCATCTGCAAAATGGAGACGATGATGCCTGCTTTGCAAGATGGTGATGATAAAATGAGCAAAGCACACCTGGCCTTACTCATAATGAGCACATAATAAGCCCCCAACAAATGGCAGTTAGGGAGGTTACCGGCCAGAGCCGGACCCAAACTCAGGTTCTGCTGCTCATCGCTCAAAAGTCAGTGTCTGAGAGACAAGGGTTGTTGAAGTAAGAAAGATACTTTATTCAGGAAGCTGGCAACCTGAGGGAGATAGTGGACTGGCGTCCCCAAAACCACCTTTCAGCTGCCAATCCGGGACAAAGGTTTTTTTTTTTTTTTTAGTTTTTGGGGGGAAGGGGATTAGGTTGGTTTGTTTGTTTGTTTAAATGAGGGTGCTAGGGATTGAACCCAGGATCTCATGCCTGCTAGGCATGCACTCTACCACTGAACTATACCCTCCCCCGACAAAGGTTTTAAAGGGGAAGTTTCAGGTGTGCACAGGTTGGGGGGCTAGTGCAGAACAGCACAGTCAACTCCAACAGTCATCTTGAAACCGGTCATCGAGTGGTCTGATCAGTGTCATCGTGACTGTTTTAAGAACAGTTTATCTTCAACTCCAGGGCTGATTTGTTCCCATTTCCTCGAGGCCAGTTCTTGGAATTGGTGCAAGCCATAGATTCAGTGCTGCTCAAGATGGAGGCTTATTTCATGGCTACATTCTGGTCATTGTGCATTTAGCTTTTTCCCTCTGGTGGCAGTTATAGTGTCTGCAAAACAACTCAGGAATGTGCATTGGACACTGTTATCCATGTCCTTCAGGGAGGAACTAAAGATTCTGTGACTCTATTGTCCTAACTGTTAACTGCTTGAGCCCTCTCTTTTGTGACTCAGAGGAGGCCTGGGAGACTATAGTTTTCTACAGACAAGGGACAGGGGACACGGAGTGGTTTTTTGCACCTGGGAGGGCCCCACAGGGTCCTGCTTGAATTCAGTAATGGTGATAATAATAGTATATCAGATCAAAGTGAGGACTCCTGCACTATTAGAGATGCAGATGTTAGAATGTCTCCCCAAGCTGGAGGTGGCTCAAGTGCCTGATCTTTCTCTCCTTGGCTTGCTTCCTTGCCTCTGATGGAACTCCCCAGGAAGGGCAGTTTGAATGGACAGACGGCTCATCCTATGATTACAGCTACTGGGATGGGAGCCAGCCAGACGACGGTGTCCACGCGGACCCAGAAGATGAGGATTGCGTGCAGATATGGTACCGGCCCACCAGCGGTGGGTGTCCCTGACACCAGGGCTCTTGCAGGGGTTCTGGGGAGGCACTGGGGATAGCCTGGACACTGGTGAGTGATTCAGCACCTTGGAGAGTGACCAGAGGTCATTGGGAGCATTAGAGGCCTGGCCATTCTCTACGGGGGGGGATACATTTTAAACAGTATTTAATGGTGCTTTGTTGACATGCAAACTGATTTGAATGAAAAGGCATTAGAGGTAGAAATGTGAAAAAAAAAGAAAAGAAACTTGTATAGAGACCAAAGGATGGTGCTTTAATGTTGCCTCACTGATGCACCAAAGGTGGCTTGCGCTCCTGGGTATTAGAACAGAGGTACGCCTGGAGGAGCGCCCCGGTGTAGTAGTGAAAAGAGTATCCAGCTGGGTTCAAGTTGCTTTTTTAGCTCTGTGTCCTTGCAGGCAATTACTTATTCTCTCTGAGATTCCGTTTCCTCTTCTGTAAAATGGATTCAATGATTGTTCCTCCCCCCAGGGCTGTTCTCAGCATTAAAATGAGGTACAGTTGATACAGCACAGTGGCAAGAGCATGGAATCTGGAGTCAATCTGGCAGTTATATGAGTTTATAGCGCCACCGTTTATGAGTTGTATAGCCCAAAGTAAGTACCTTAACCTCTTCGTGCCTCAGGTTCTTCATCTGCAAAATGGGGCTAATGACACTTAACTCTCAGGGTTGATGTAAAGGAAAAAGAAGGTAAGAGACATAAAGTGGCTGCTGTGGTTTGCATGTGGTATCAGCAAACACCTCCATCTTCATGAACAACGTTGTCATTGCTAATACCAATCTTGAGAAGTAAAAACTAATATTTCCATTTTGCAGATGAAGAAACTGAGGCTCAAGGAAGTTAAGTGATTTTTTTCGAGGTTGTGCAGCAAGTAGGTATGGAGCTGGGTTTCAAACTTAGATCTACAGCAGATCCAAGCACTGAACCACTATTCCCTCTTTGCTCCTTTTTCTTTTTCTGATTAGGGGAGGGAGGCATGGTACAGCGACTTGCTATCCTGGGAGCCATCCTTGATTCTGGTAGCCAGAGCTGGGCCAAGCCTCTGGGTGAGGTTTGTCCTGACCCTCCACGGTGGCAAGACCAACCTCATGAAACCTTGAGGCTGGACAGTGGCCTCGTCAAGCATCAGCAAGAAAGGGATGCCAGCATTGACACCAGGCCTATGGGAGAGATTTTGACTTCGGTGGGATGGTGGGGTTACTTTTACTGTGTTGGATGGACCTTGACCCAGATTCTCTGCTTTTTCCCACCGCAGCTCTGAGGTCATGGAATGATAACACCTGCAACCGAAAGTTCCCCTTTGTCTGCAAGATCGCGGCGCTGACCATTCACTGATCTGGTCTCGCTCTCTTGAAGTTAGCCCAACTCCAGCATCAACTTATAGTGTGCTAATGTAAAGTCGACACTCAATAAATGTAAAACACACAGAGGAGATAAATCTCCTGGACAGAGATTTTTAACAAGCAAATCTTAAGATTCAGAGTGATCGCTTGGTCACCAGTGACAGGAAACCCAACAGAAACTGACTTAATAAATAAAAGATGATGGATTTATTGGTCCAAGTAGTCAAAATCCAAAGTTTGTTCTAACTTCAAAGTTGAATCTCATTGGCCTGGCTCAGGGCACATGCTCATTCTTGAAGCAATCTCTTTGGCATATTATTGCCAAATTTGGCATATTCTTGGTTGGCTAGACTCATGGCTTAGATGCACATGGCTGGGCAGGGAGGGGTCGGGGCTACTATGTTCAGAACCACATGGGCCCAGAAGAGGAAGGTGGTTCCCCAAAGGAAAATGAAAAATGTCACCAAACTCATACTCTGCTGGTGGGAGTGTAAAATGGTGAAGCCGTTCTGGAAGACAGTTTGGCACTTCTTCAAAAAGTTAAACAGAGAATTACCATATAGGCCCAGCAATCCCAATTCTGGGTAAATACACAAGAAAACAGGTATTCAGATATGAATGGCCAGGGGAGGGAATAGCTCAGTGGTAGAGCGCATGCTTAGCATGCATGAGGTGCTGGGTTCTATCCCCAGTACCTCCATTAAAATAAATAAATAACTAAATAAGCAAATTAACCTAATTACTTCCCCCCAGAAAAATTTTTTTTAAAACACGAATGGTCATAGCAGCATTATTCATAATAGCCCCCAAAATGGAAACATCTTTGGGGGCACCACCCGGATGACCCCATCCCATTGTCAGGGTCCCAACCAGGGCCCTGAATGTAGCATTGTCTTGGTTGGGCGCTTAACTGCCTTGAAGTTCTGGCACTCTGAGTCCTGGGCTTGGTGTGCTTGCTCTCCCGACAAAGGAGATGAAAACTGCTTTGTCTGCAACCAGAGAGACTGTTTGGCTTTCACGCCTGGAGCAAGAGCCTTTTACTCATCCTTAGCTGTTTTAAATCTTTCTGCAGAGCATCAAAGTCTTATAGCCATAGCCACCCAATCTAGTTGTGCTTATGGGTACCATTTTCTCTGTTCATCAACTACCTGACACCTCGCTCCTGCTGGTGCATTCCGTCCCCACTACACCCTCCCATATACTCCATGAACATTTGAACAGTTGGACACCACTTTGTGCCAGGGGCTGCCTGTTCCCCCCACCACCACTGATCGCCAGCCCAGGAGTAAGCACCCCAGCCCGGGGGTAAGCAGCCCAGCCCCTAAATCCCGTGTCACCTGCTTCCTCGACTACTCCTAGTATCAGTGGCTCCAGATCAGGTTCTCAGGAAGCAGGTGCTGACACAGTAACTTTGAAGTAGGAGACGTTTATTAGGGATCAATGCCTGTGAAGGGAAGACAGAGGAAGTAGTAGAGCTGAGATGCAGCCTGACAAATTATCAGCCCACCTGGCAGGGAGATCTGATGCCCATCTGAGTGGACCACATAGGGCTGAAGGGGCCAGGCCTTTAGACCCGTAGTTCATTCAGTCACTAATGTGGGTTCCCTGGAAAGGATGTGACTTCGATTAAGGCAGCTCTCTGCAGCTGAGGCTGACCCCGAAGGAACTGACAGCTGGAAGCCCCTCCCCTTCCTTGAAGGTGAGGGTCTGGTGGTGCATCTCTGTGTTACCACATCTGGAATCAAGAAGACATGGGTTCAGACCCCACCACTGCCACTTACTGTGTGACCTCATGAAAGCGGCTTAACTTCTCTGAGTTTTCATTTTCTCCTGTTTAAAATGGAGACACAGTTCCTTCCAGCTCTGTGATTTATCAGGCAGCTTTGGGAAATAAAGAGCTCTACACAGGAAAAACAAAACTCATTCCTCAAGCATCCCAACTAGCTCTACTTTTTCCATTTTGAGTGGAAAAACTGGTTTCAATGACATACGGTTTAGAACGATACATATTATATGGTTTAGAAAGCCGTATTATACATTGCCCTCCTTCCTTAAACAGAAGATACTCAAGAGAATTAGTCTTTTCTTGATGACTCAGGGTCATGTGCGCTGTATCGACTTCAGGTATTTTTGTCTCCTGTCATCATATCTGGGTGTCACTGTGCCAGTCTGACAGCCCACAGAATCCCCCATCTTTTGTAGGTTGTTGCTGCTGAGATGCTGTGGGCTGGGAAGCCAGGCAACCGAGCCTGAGCATAATCCAAGGGAGATGAAAGAGAGAGAGAGGGAGAGAGAATAGATGATAGATCAATGGTAAATAATAGAAAAATGATGGATTGATGCATGGACTGATAGATGGATGAATGGGTAAATAGAGACATTAAAGAGCTGTTTTTAGAGCAATCTAAATGATAGACAGACAGATAGGCTGGTGCTCGTGACAATGAATATATATCACCCATACAATCACTGCAAATGAAGCATAGGATCCCCTTGTGTGGATATTATCAAATCATATTTAATGATTCTTCTATTGTTAATCTTTCAGTTTGCATCTAATTTTTCACTATTACAAAGTACCCAGTGATAAGCATCTCTATATGCATATTCAATGAATTTCTTAGAGATATAGTCTTAGAACTGGAGTTGCCAGTTCAAAGTGTATACACATTCTAAAAATAGGGATACTTTTTCATTATAAAAACATGTATGTGGACTACAAAAACAAACACAGAAAAAAGTGTGTGTGTATGTGTGTATGCGCTTGTGTGCAGGTTGTACGTGTTCTGTAATCCCACCAGCCAGAGGCCACCACTTGTGAGCTTTTAGCAGTGGGCTGTTTTCTGGGCATGAGTACTGTGCTGGCCAAGACAACGCACCTCAAAGATCTCCTACGACTAGGGACATAACTGACTGAGGGCCCCAGTTTTGTGGTTGAAATCCATCCCTTGGTTTGCTCAGAGGCTTAGCTCCCATACGTTGCTCCCAGGCAATGAGGTGAGGCGGGGTCCTGAGGCAGCCCTGTTCCTGGGGAACACAGGATATTGTTGGTGGACTTTGGCTCAAAAACACCCAAATGGCCTTGCTGAACTTGCCTTAGACTGCAGGACAGTCTAGGATGCCCCCACCCTCTCTCCTTCACTGGGGGGTCAAATTTGTATCCAAGTCTGATGGCTTCACCAGCCTTCCCTGGCTCCCTCCCTGCTGTCTTTCACACTGGTATTTCCTCTAACAAAACCCTCGCACGCAATTCATCTTGGCATCTGCTTCTCGGAGGACCCAGATGAATACATTCAGTGTAGTCAGACGGCCCTCCCAAATGTCTGCACTAATTTACACGCCTACCTGTCATGGCTGAGAGCAGAGGAGACACGGATTCCCAAAAGGAATTAGAGACACTATTTTATTAAAAGAGAACTAATGAAAGCCATGTTAAACTAAACAACGTATCTACTATAAGAAGTCCATGAGGAACCAAGTCTAAATTTCAAACTGTGGAGAGGGTTGGAACCATGGAAGGCTAACTGCAGCCTTTCTCAGAGAAGGACGGGACCCCATCTCTCCCCAACGAAGAGTCCTTGGAGAGAATGTGTTCCTCTTTTTCTCAGTTTATAGGTGGGATCTTCTCTGCAGAGCTGCCAGAGAGAATCGGGAGAGCTATCAACTGTCAAAACAAACACATGGGGCAGAGCTAAGTGACTTGCCAGTTTGAAGGATAATCATAATCATATTTTTTAGAAGCCAGGAAAGTCAGACCTCTGTTACTTTGAAGCAAATTTCAGAACCAAGATCCCAGCATCCATCTTTTTAAGGCAGCTGCGACCAGCTGGAGAATTCTCTTGTGGAAGCCAGACCTTCCCTCTCCCGACCCTCACAAATAAGCTACGTTAGAAGATTCCAGAGCTTTCTTCTTCAACACAGGTTTAGCTGCACAACACCTCCTCCTAACATCTCCTGAGCGCCAGGGACCTTAGCCATAGAAGCTCACGTAATCCTGTCAACAACCTCGCTGCAGGGGCTCTGCCCGTTGTGGGAAGGCGAGTAGTGTGGGCTCAGAGTCGGAGTCAGGGCTCAAATCCCAGCTGCACTACTTGCAGGGTGTAATCCTGGGCGAGGTACCTCACGTCTCCAAGCTTCCGGCTGGAGACGCTAATGGGAATGCCAATACTCACCGGAAGGCTGCGAGGACGGAGTGAGAGACTCCACGAAAAGTGTTTACACGGTGGCTGCCACCTAGCAGACACTCAAAAAATGTTCACACTCATTATTATGGTAATTGGGGTGTCCTGCTTCATCAGCGAGGACAAGGAGGGAACATTTAGCATTCAAGCTGGATGACTTTGCTTTCCCATCCGGAGCACTTGAGAATGTCTTCGTTGCCCCAGACCCTTTCTCCTGTAATACCCCGTGATCTCCAGAGGATGTTCATTCCAGTTAATCATCTCTTCAAAGAGAGAAATGCATCTACCTGCAGTGGCAGCCCCGGAGTCCTGGCCCTCTTGGGTCTTTTTAATATCACTGCTGCAACCCAGGGGGTCCGGAGCTGTCCTCCTTCCCCACTGCCAGGCCACCTGTAGGGATTCCCACACACAGCTCAGGTGACACCTGGCATCAAGGCCGCTGTCTGCTCGCCTAGGACAGAGCCCCCCATGCAGGTACTTTCTGCAACAAGTGAGACCGTGAGCACCTTGCCCACGTGGGTCCTGCTCAGTCGGGCTCTCTTTTCCCTGGACCTCAGCTACAAGCAGCATGGACTCAGCTCTGCATTCAAGACATGTGCCGTGGGGGTTGGGTCCTGAGGGGTTCCTCATATTGGTCACCCCCTGTGCCTGGAACGCCTCCTCTCCCCTCTTGATCTGCAGACCCCAAGAGCAGAATTAGCCCCTCACTCTTTCATTCCTATGACTTACTCTCATAGACTTCCATAAGCTGGAATGGGCCGCTTGGCAAACTTTTTTCTACACAGAGGGAGCCTAGAGTCCCAAATTGGAATGGCCAAATAGCCTAGTGTATAAGGAAGTGTTCAGTCTCGCAGTGGGAGGAGAGGTTTTTCTCTCTCTCCTATTGGATGGGACCAAGGAAGCATAGACAGACCAGTCACGAGAAATGTTCCAAGCTGTTTAACAATAATAGGAGGTCTGTCAGTGATTTACTCGTATTCTTAAGACTGAGTTCAAGTTTACCCCACACTAGCAATAGTTACTC